CATGCCCTGAAGGATAAACAGGATGCATTTTTTGACAGTAAAAGATTTATTCGTTCTCCAAAACATGTCTGATAACAAGAGTAAATATTATGAAATTAATGTAAACAAAGTTTAACCTACGTAATGTTTCTCATAACTAAAAATTATAATTTCCGAAATAGGAATGTTTCAGTTAGGGCAGATTTAAAGGACGAGTGAGTCTGCATTTTTAAGTTAATCGGGAAGAGTATTCCATAATGTAGGTGCACAGAACGCACGTTTACCGTATGTCACAGAGTTTACAGCGGGGGACAGTAAAAGTGATGTTTAGGATGAACGAAGACTTCATGGAGGATGATATTCTTGTAAAAGGGACGACAAATAGGCCTGAGAAAGTCCGTCACGAATCTCGAAAGAAATAAGAATAACATTGAATATTATACGTGATTCAACTGGCAGCCAGTCTAGTTCACGAAAACAGGTGTGATGTGCTGAGGTTGGTTAGTTCCACCAATAAGACGTGCTGTAGCGTTTTGAATTCTTTGAAGTTTGTCTAGTTCCTGTTTTAGAGGACCGATACTGGTACAGGAGTCCAAACGTGATATAACAAGAGCATTGACTAACAGTTTGAGGTTTTCGTTAGTGAGATATTTGCGAGCGCCCTATGGACCTTATGGCATTGGTTGCTTTTATGCATGTCTCGTTTATGTGGTATATCAGTGTTAGGTTTTTGTCTAAAATAACTCCAAGATCACGAAAGCTTTCAGTTCAATGACGGTAAAGGATTGTTAGCCGCAATGAATTAATAAACGCCGAAATTAAGAACGTCGTAAAAATGCGTCCACCTTTTGAAATCACAAAATTCCTGATACAGTGCAGAGGAACCCGGTTAATACAGACACCAAGGGGACATGCCATACTACCCGTATTATCCGGGTGTCCGTATTAAGCTGGCTTTCAGAAAAAAGTGTCCCAGATTCACGTTTTATCGACATAGAGACTAAAGTAGACGTTTCTACGAGAAGACGTTGTTTCCTGCATTTCATGTCAGTGACTGTAACAAGCCTAGTAAAGAAACTTCACTTGAGTTATCATAGTCTCGGACTTAGTCTGCGTAGCAAGCGTTTCCGTTTAGTTTCGGAGCAAAAAAAAACGAGGAACGGGATTTTCGGTTTTGACCGCGCGAGAAATGAAACGAGAACCAAAAAATGAAAGAGGGGGGGAAACCCTAACCCCTAACCCCGCTCTTTTACTTGCGCCATTTTTCGTGCGGTCTTTGGCTCTTGTTCCTCGTTCTTTGCTCCTAAACCGCACAGAAACCGGCGCTTGCTACTCAGGCTGTCTCGGACTAAAACTACCCAGTCTTTTTCGACTGACCAACAGTGGAATCTGTGACTTAACAACTTTGTACTGACGCCTTTAGTGTGTATCGCAGCCAGGTGGACTTAACATAAGATAAAACTTTTAAAGGTAATTCGCTGTTTGCACTAGGTTTTCACTGGTAAAATATTCAGTCATAGAAAAGCTCGCAGATAAACAGTTTCCGTAAAGGGGGGTTTGAAAATATATGAGATTTTGTGACACGCGGGACACAGGAAAGTGTCCGTTGTTCGTATTATCCGGTGTCCGCATTAAGCGGGTTGATTTTAAATTGCAGATAGCATTATGATACACATAAATGTTGTGTAGTGTAACCCTTTTTATATCGCAAATTATGGAAGAGAAAATTAACTGAGGGTCTCAATGGGGTTAACCGATAGGCGTAAAACGGCCAAAAATTTAGCCGATAGCCGTAAAAATTGAAAAATTTTAACCGTTAGCCGTAAATAGGGTAAAAAAGAGTTAACCGTAAAAGAAAGTGTTTCCTAGATTTGCTACTTTTAAGGAAGGTACTAAAACTCTTTCTCGGCTACTGTGACCCCGTACGCACGTTATAGGCCGGAAGCGCCTTTAGTTTAGGTGCTAACCAAGACCTAGGCTCCATTTCCGGCGCTTTCTCGGGGAACTAACGTTTCCCATAGCGAAAGTGTGGCTTCTTGCTGGGGATTAATATTTGCAATTTTCAGGAGGTCGTACCCTCGAAACACTAGTGAAACAACACGCAGAGATGTCACTGTTTGTAAAACACGTTGCTGATAAACAACATTTTCCTGTTTTTCTCTGACGCTACGGTAGACATTGCCAACGTATTGCCATGCCTAGTCCCTGTACGGCGTCTTCCCACGCAATCTCGGTCAAGGCATTTCGGTGGAGAACTCGGACCACGTGACCCGAAACTCATCAGCCGTGCGGAATAATGCGGCCTACGGACAAGGCAACGGCAGACAGTCGTTTCGTACAGTCCTTCGCTATCATTAAAAACACTGGACACGGGAATTTTGTTATTGGCCGTTTTCACACTAACTAGAGTTAGAAATGGATCATCCGTCTGAGACTAGCCTGTGTACAGTCGCGCCCTCCCCACAGACACCCCTACCTCCGATTTTTTTCTGAGGGGAGGGGGCGGCTGTACACAGGCTATCTGGAACGGATAATCCTGTCGTCAAAAGTCAGGTGGATTGTTCATTCAAAATTAAAACTATTCCATTGCCAAATTAAGACGTATTACCTATCTGACGCGAATCATCGAACGGATAACCCGTCTCACACGAATAATCCTTTTCTAGTCTTCGAACGGACATTTCTGTTATAATGAATATCGCGCCCCGGCCTTGAGTTGGGCGTTCGCGTGTCTGCTTTTGCTTTTTCACAAAGATTATTTTTTAATTGACTATTGACATTTCTATGTATAAAATAATATTAGAAGTGGAATACTTTATGAAAAGAATGATCTATCAAATGTTAAAATTTTTCAAAAGAATAGCTTTTTTCATCCGGAGATGATCCGAAGACCTTTATTTTGATTTAAAGATACAAAAAAACACAGGTTAATTAATATTTAACTTTTTGAAACAAAAGAAGTTAATTTTTAACTTTTTCGTTAACCGTAACTGAAAAAAATTAACCGATAGCCGTAAAAGAGCCAAAATTTTAGCCGATAACCGTAAAAGCCACCACCCCACTGAGACCCTCTACTTTGAACTTAACATTGAACAAGATGAAATACACAAAGCCTCGTTAATCAAGCAAGAAACTGAATGAATTGAATAATTTTGCTTCTTTTTCTAATTCCTTGTATTTCGGAGTAATTCTCATAGGAGGCGTTTATTAGAGAGGGGCGTCTAATACAATTTAAACGGCGTGGAGGGGGCGTTTATTAAATAAAAGGCGTTTATTTGCGAGTGGGCGTCTATAGGCCTATACATTACGTACACTTTTCTCAAGTTTGATTTGAGGCTGGTGGTCAAACCATCACAAAACATTTTTGAGTTAAAATCAGCAATCTTTTTTTTTTTCGTTTATTTTATTATATAGTTATTATTCTCTGGGCGCTTATTGTAGTTGGCAACTCGTGTTATTAATCATGTTTTCGTAGTGCCGCTAGCCTGAGATCCCTATTATTCTTCTATGTCTAGAAGTAATTATCTACTTTCAACTGAAAGACGCACGATCTATTGGTTAAAGTAGCCGGGAAATAAAGATCATAAACGAAAGGACAGCATTTTTTAAGTGTGACCGCCATTTTATTTTTGATTTTAATTAATCTATTTTCAATCTCTTAACTCAGCTTCACTGGACGAACAATTCTCACTATAAGAAGTGTGCACTCCTTCCTTGCCCAAAATCGTTAGTTTTGATTTTTAATATGTCGTATTATTTAATTTATTGAATGGGATTACAACAAAGTGCTCTACTCTATTTGACTTTTGGGACGCAAGTCAGCTAATTTGCTTTTTCTTGCAAAGGAGAACTGGAGCGTATTTCCAAAGCTTTGCCGGATCGACATCGCAAGGTAAGTCGTTCCACTTGCCTCCTGCTGAGCCAAACATGTTTCCACACTTTTCATTCCCACCAGCATTGTTTGGTTCTCCGCTTCCCCAAGCCGTGTAACCTTTCGCCAGTGGAGTGTCATCAATCCAGTAGAACTTGTTGTCTGCCTTCCGGACAAAACCAAGCCACAAACCCCAATCGGTGATGGTTTTCTGTTTCTTGAGCAAGCTGAATATGAAGTTATTCTCAGCAGCTGATTTTATTATAGCGAGGTCTCCTCCAAGCATCTGACACGTTCGTCGAGCATCGCTCCATTTCAGGGTTCGAATGTTGATGATGAGGTAACCGAAGTTTCCGTAGCGGACCCAACCATCTTGAGGACAAACTGAAACTAGAACATATTTCGTTAGTATTATGACATTAAGCCTCGTGATATCAGCCACTATCTTTTAATATCAAGCCTATAATTTTCAAATATATTGAATGTAAATGAGATACCTGTTGGGGTAGATTTCGGCCCATAAAGAGAGTCGATTTTGGATTTTATCTGCATTAAAGTTTTTCGATCAGCGCTTCCGAAGCCCCAGTTGTTGATGTTAAAGGTTTGGTCCATCGGTTGACGTGGTTTTTCACTTGCGTACATCGCTGAGTTCGAACCGCCGCTTTGAGGTTTGTTTTTTGCAAAACAAGTAGAAAAAATGAAACAGGTAAGGACAAGAAAGACGAAATTCCAGTTTCTGAAAGTCATGGTTGAATCAGTGTTTTTGGATCAAATGAAAAGGTAGCCTTTATGTGTACACCTCGAAGATGTGTAGAATACTCGTGTTTGATGACTCATCAGAATCTTTTAGTGAACATGATCGCTGACATATCAGTAAGTTGAGCAAGAACAAATTTCGCGTTTCAGTTTATCAAGGTCATTGATCCTGCCAAAAATTAAATATTCTGTAATGAAAGGTATCCTTGAGTTATATTAATTATTGGCAGTTTGAATATCTTTTCCTGAATTCGCTACAGAATTTGTCACAATATGTAAATCAAGTTTGAGTTATGCTTATTATCTTTTGTGTCATCAAAATAATAGACTGAAATAAAAGAACACTCCAAACACATGTAAACTCTTGTAAACTAAAATAGGTTTTCGAAAGACTCGACGAATTATTGTGCAGTGATTACCGTAGTTTCAGTTTGGAGTTATCTGTAAAGCCGATACGCTCTCTTTTCTTGAGTATATGAAGTATGATTCTCTTGAGTGGAGGTCTCTTTTAAAGTGAGATATTTTTGCTTTCACTGCTACCAGGAAGTCAATTTCTGTTTACAATAAAAAGACAAACATGCCAAAAGAACACCGTATATGATCATTTCATTAAGAGTAGAGCACGAATTGTTGGGCACTGCCTGAGAGACCGTCGTCTTACCGTGTTATAATAATTGGTCGAAAAATGGATTCGCCCAAAATTGCTCTTGGCAAATATGTCGCAATATGAAAACTGACGGTTAAATCTGGCGCAAACCTGGCTGATGAATGTCACATTTACCCCCTTATTCACAACCAACCCCATGTTAATTGGTATGCAAATGTGGCATTACCGTTTTTGCTCCAGATTTACTACTCCGTTTTTAAGTGATCTTTGCGCCATTTTTGCCATTAGGGAATATTTGCAAATCCAACTTT